TCTGTGTCTGTGTGTGTGTGTGATTGTGCGTGTGTGCGCGTGCTGTTGTAAGTGTCTACGTGTACGTGCGTGTGTTTATGTGTTTGTATGTGTGTTGTGTGTGTGTGTGTGTGTGTGTGTGTGTGTGTGTGTGTGTGTGTGTGTGCGTGCGCGGCGTGCGTGTATGTGTCTACGTGTATGTGCAAGTGTCTATGTGTTTGTTTGTGTGTTCCCATACAGTGAGTACAGCGAACTGGCAGTTGGCATAATCGGCGCGTGCTTCAAGAAGCACGAGGGCTACACCCACGACCTGCTCAAGCGTGTCATGGAGAACTGGAGCAACTACACGTGCACGGAGATGGCGCTACTGGCGGGCAACAGGGAGTTCCTGGCACATTCTGCCTGCCAGTCCCTGGCTGAGATCGCCTGGAGTAAACCCTTCGAGCAGACGCTTCCACTGTGGAAGGTTAGTGGCTTCTGTTTCTTCAAGTAAAAGCTAACTTGAGAGAAGGTAAGTGGCCTCTGAACCCCCCCCCCCTTTGTTACATTGTAGACACATCATTCTGTGAAATAGAAAAAAACGCAATTTTTTTTGGCCTTTGGGTAATTTTATCATTTATATTTGTGTCACAACGCGGTAAAATCAGACTCTCGTGAATTTTTGGTAATGTGGCGTTTTTGTTATTATCTAAATGCCTATTTATTTGCAGTACTTTCAAGAATAAAATACTCGTCTATCTTGAATAGAAGTCGAGATATTTGAGATTGAAGGAGGTGGGGGTCACCAGGTTTCAGTGGTAAAATTACCGAGAAAATGGCCGTCAAAGTTAGGTAACTTTAAAAGCCTGAGAGTCGTTGAAAACTGAAAAATTACTTATCTTGTGCCATTAATCAACATTTTCCTGTCTATTCACACAGAAATGTGTTTTACATGGACATTAAAGATGTTGAGCCAAAAAAAAATTCTTTTAATCGATAAATATTGCCAAAATGGCGGAAAATGGCCCATTTCTTCAATTTCATTATTTTGACGAGCGCCCGATTTCGCCACAATGCCTCACGTTTCTGTTATTGGGTTCAGTACTTTTTATCTCCGTTTTAAAAACACACTATTTCTGAGTAGACTTTGCCAAAAAACGTTCATCAAAGGCACAAAAATGCAAATTGGCAGTTTTCAAGAATGCTCAAGCTCTGGGGGTCACAAAATTTGGCAGCCATAAACATTTTTCGTTACGTTTACCTTTGACGACAGGCGACCGACATTTTCTTTAATCGAATATATCTCAACTGCTAGTCAAGTGAGATGGTCATTTTTTTTTCAAAGGCTAGACAAATGAACAACCTTTAAGATGATACCAATACTTCCACATATTCACAATTTGACGAGCATCTAATTCTACCGGATCATGCCACATTTGTGTCGCAAAGCGGTAGAATCAAGCCCTCGTCAATTTTGGGGCATGTCAAGTTATTGTTATCATCTTAAAGGTTGTTTATTCGTCTATCTTTCCATGAAAAAGAAAAAAACCCCACTTATCTGTCTTGAATAAATGTCTAGATACTTGGACTGAGGCTTCAGAGGTAAGATTAGCGAGAAAATGAACGCCAATTTTTGGTGTCCTCCAAAGCCTAAAGCCCTTGGAAACTGAAAATGTAAGTTTTTGAGGATTTTAATCAAAAAATTTCATCAAAATCCACACAGAAATGTTATTTTTAATAGATACACAGGATGATGAGCCAAAAAAAAAAATTGAAAAAAATTTCCGAACCGGCAGAAAAATGCTGGTATCTTCAGTTGTATTTTTTTGACCGGCGTTTGATTTCACCACCACGATGCCTCAAATTTTGCCCCCCTCCTTCACCAGTGCATCCTCGCCATGTTGTTCCCTCCCCTGATCTGGTCCAGTCTGCGGAGAGCTGCTCAGGGCAAAAAAACAAAGGGTGTGGGGAGCCGAGGACACACCGCACCCTGCATGAACAACAGTTTGGAACACGACAACATCAACTTGGTAACATTGCTTTATTTTTATGCAGGTGTTTTGCACTTCTGCCTTATGTATCTAACGGTATAGGGAGAGAGTAAGTAAGTAAGTAAGTAAGTAAGTAAGTTTTTGCCCCCCCCCTCCCCTTGGACACAGTACTACAAATAATACATAGAATTTTGCTACCCCACAATTCTAAAGTTATATCTGCTCTGTACTTAGTCTTGAGAAATGTGACGTTGAAAATTTTAAGCTTCTCGACTTTTCACGCTTTTTCGAATGCAAGTCTTTGAATGTCTTGATTGCGACTCCGAACAACCTTACACTTTTGATAAAGCAGGTAAAACATTTGGGGTTTCTGACCTCATGGAAAAAATGTCAGCTAGAACTTGGTAATTCTCTGGTAGCGATTTTAATAGCGCAAATTCTCGTTTAACGGCAAGCTCTATGCACTTTAAAATCTATATTATTACCCAAGCAGACCTGGTGGCACACTGAAACAATCCCAGCTTTCAGAAAGCAAACAGCGCAGACTGCCATTTTATAGGCGCTAAAACACAAACGTATTGACAATAGATGTATCTTTCGCTGTCTATGGCCGGTTCCCATTCCCTCTTGCATGAAATGAGGAAAATCTGTGTAAAATGTCTTTCCCCAAGGACACAAAATCGGACATGAGGCTTGAACCCCTGAACCTGCAACCTCACGATTATGAGTCCGGTAGCCTAACCGTCAGTCTTGTTGTATGTTCGTTTGTTTTTTTAGTTTGTTTGTTTGTTTATTTGTATATTTGTTTAGGGATTTTTGTTTAAGCTTGAGTAGAACCACAAATGAAGAGACACTGAGCAACACCCTCTACACGCCCATTTCCACCACCACCACCATCCCCACAACCACCACGACTACCACAATTATCAACATTCCCATCCCCACCATCACCATCACCACAACCATAGCCACCACCACCACAATCATCAACATCACCACCACCACCATCACCGCCATCACAACCACAACCAGAACCACCACAATCATCATCATCCCCAGCACAACCATCACCACCATCACAACCACAACCAGAACCACCACAACCACAAACATCATCATCACCACCACCACCATCACCACCACCAACAACAATAACACCACAATCATCACAACATGATCATCAAGACCATCACCACAACCACAACCACCACCACCACAATCATCAAGGCTATCACCACAACCACAATCATCAACATCACTATCACCACGATCGCCACAAGCACCACCATCTCAATCATCAACATCACCACCATCACCATCACCACCATGATCATCAGCATCACCACCACCACGATCACCACAACCACAACCACAACAACCACCACCACAATCAACACCACCACAACCACCACCATCACAATCATCAACATCACCACCACCACCATCAGCACAAACACAACAACCACAACAATCAGAACCACCACAACGTTTTGACGTGTTTTTCAGACGGAGACCAGAACTGCTAACACCGACAACCAAGATCTATCACCCAATTCTCCGCCAGACGGCATCGAAACGCAGTAAGGATTAGTTATAGTGTCAGTTTTACGGCCCCTACAACACAAATAGGTTACATTGGTGCTGAAGATAAGAGATGCTACTAGACAGTAAAGTAATATAAAAATTAAAGAGACAGTAACTACAATGACGGTAGATGTTTGATAGAAAGGAGGCATAAACCACACCAGAGCATCTGCCAACCACAGATAGTAAGAATGTTGAAATAATCCAGCCTCATATATATTAATCATTCTGTGAAATGTTTTAACTTCAACAATTCCGACTTTACAAAGTAACACCAAACTGTGCTGTGAACTAACATGGAAACATCTTGAAGCCCGCGCGCTCATATTCCCTTATTTTAGGAGTGTCTCCTCCTCCTCCTCCTCCTCCCATGCAGTGCCGCACATGCATACACAAACACACATACACAAACATAAACACAAACACACACACACACACATACACACACACATCAGCACACACTCACACCCAGTTGGTGACATACAGTCAAACATGCTCAGAAGGCAGACCCAAGCAACAAGACAGACTGTGTCCCTTGAGCATTCATTTGGTTGTTGGTTTCTTTTTTACATAAGGCTGCTCTGGATGCCTCGTAAGTAAGTGAATGTGTTCTTAGTTTTAGTAAGAGTTTTACCGCACTTGCAACAACAGCCATATAAGTGCCGAAGCTTAGAGGTGTTACAAGAGGATAACAAACGCAAAAGAGAAGAGGTAAGAGAAGGACAATAGATGTTCGGTAGGAAAAAAAAAGCAAACCACTCCACAGCACCCGCCAACCACCCACATTTTTAAAGCCTGTATCAACACTAGTATGCAGTCCATGATCGCCCATGCCAGTCAGCAAGGCAAGGTCCCGGATGATTATCAACGCTAGTAAGTAATTGGTGAGTAACCATTTTCCCTTTACCTCTGAAAAATTGATTGTCTTCCTTTTAAAAAAGTTTTTTTTTAATGAGATTATTTACGAGGCTGCCCTCCAACCCTGGCTGTCAGATTCAACCCGGGTGAGAGGGATACAGCATCCCAGCAGAAAGACAGTGATAGTCCATAAATATTTATCCCAATCAAATTTTGATATCCTGCCTGCGACAGCAAAAGACATGACTGCTCGGCACACACACACACACACACACACACACACACACACACACACACACACACACTCACACACGCACACACAACACACACATACACACACACAAACACACACACCCTTGTTGTGAATGTATCATAGCCATAGAGTACTGAGGGCATTGTAAAAACTGGACTAAAAATTTGAAACACAGGTTTAAATGTTGAACGTTTATGTGCTGTGCAGAAACGTCCCTGAAGACTACAAGCATGACCGTGGTGTGCTCAAGACTCTAACACTGCTCTATTCCTGTCCAAAGGTCAAGCTATCTATGGACGTGGTAAGTACGGAATAAGATTTTTTTTCTTAGTTTTTTAGCAAGACTGTTATGGCACTTACTACACAATAGGATCATATAAGTGCTGAAGATTAGAGGTGTTAGAGGAGAGTAACAAACACAACAAAGAAGGAGGAGAGATCAGGACCATAGATTGTTGACATGAAAGAAGAAGCAAACCAACCGTCAGTGTAAGTCCTGTTTCCTTTGTCACTGAAACAGCCTGGTAGACTGAGAGTTTTGACGCACAAGAAATGTCAAGCAAGTGTCGGTGAAATGGGGGTTTAGATGGCTGCTCACTGGGTAGAGTCCTTGAGCAAGACACGACAGACAACACTTTTTCAAAAACACAGGGCGCTGCACACATGCGACTAGCAATAGCGTATCATAAAAGCATTGTTCTGCACTGGTGTAATATAGAGTTTGGGGTATTCTTTGTATGTATTTAATTTTTATGTGTTTAAATATATGTTCGTTTATGTATGTTTGCCTTTTTAACTCAAATTTGTAAGATCTCTGCCTTCTGAGCACTCAGGTGACATATGTTTGCAGAGAGTTTCCCTTAAGAAACGTAATGTTGACCGGGAGTGTCCCTTAAGTTACATATCTTCAATGAGTGTCCCTTAAGTAGCGTATGTTCACTATGTTCACTGAGTGACCCTTAAGTAGTGTATGTTCATTGAGTGACCCTTAAGTAGCATATGTTTACTATGTTCACTGAGAGTGCCCTTTAAGTATGTTTACTGAGAGTGATGTTTTCTGAGAGTGTTCTTCACTGAGGGTCCCCTAAGTAGCGGATGTTTACTTAGAGTGTCCCTTAAGTAACGTATCTTTACTGAGAGTGTCCCTAAATGTAATGTTTGCTGAGAGTGTCGCTAAAGTAACGTAATGTTTACTGAGAGTCCCTAAAGTAGTATTGTGTTTGCTGAGAGTATCCTTTAAGTAACGTAATGTTTACTGTGAGTGTCCCTAAAACTATCTTTACTGAGAAAGTCCCTTATGCAGCGCACCTTCAGGGAATGTCCCTTAAGTAACGTAATGTTTACTGAGAGTGTCCCTAAGCCTTAAAGTAACTATCTTTGCTGAGAAAGTCCCTTAAGTAACGTATCTTCACGGAGTGTCCCTTAAGTTCCTTGACAGTTTCCCTTAATGACAGTGTCCCTTGTGACGTATTTTTCAGCTCTTCTACCTCGTGTTCCAAGGGATGTACAGCTACTTACTGGTCGTTAGGTTGGACGAGGAGTTCCATTGTCTAGAGGTCGTACCCTACCTGTGGGGCCTCTGCCACATTTTGGGGATGATCAGAGAGGTGTGTGTTGTTCACCAGCGCTCCAGCGCCCCTACTAATCACACAAACGCACGCGCGTACACACACACA